CAGCTGTCAGTTTCTATTAACCTGCACTGGATTTGAAGTCTCTGGAGCCTGTCAGTCCCCAGGCCCTGAACTATTTCTTGCTCTGTATCACCCAGCATGCCAGGTTTGCAGGATGGGGTAGGATCTTTCCCCCTCAAAATTGGAATAATCCCTGAAATCCAAGGACATGTGGCATCCCTAGCCAGCCCTGCCCCCAGTGCCAGCACTCCACCTATGCTTCATCACCCTGCAAGTCAACCACATAAACGGTTCCTATTTGGGTTGCTGCCCCTAATACCCTACTGCCCTAGTAGGCAACGACCCAGCCAACCAACTCTGCCTTATGTGGTTGAGGCTGCTTGTCCTTTGTGCTTGGCACGCAGCAGGGAAGATGTGGGGGAGGAAGGGAAAGGCAGCCTGAACAACTGTTTATCTCCACTCTGATTCCTGTCAGCAGCAGCAGGAGGTGAAGAGCAATGACCTGGGTGTCACTAACACCACCATCACCTCTTTCATCACTAACCACAATGAAAGCATTTCCCCAGCAGTAGCAAAAGCAGCAGCCACTGCCTCATGTGTCTCCCAGTGTGGCATCAGCAGGAGCTTGCACCATGGAGCTCTCCTGCACGCGCCTCTTTTTCTTGATGCTGCTTGGTTTGTGGTGGCCAGGTTTGGCGTGGCATCGGGTGGGAGCAGCTCAGGTTCGGGAGCACTACATAGCCGCAGAGATTACCAGCTGGAGCTACAGACCCCAGTCCAAAGAACAGTCCAGGTAAGTGCGGGAAGATGTGGAGGCAACCAGCCCCCTCCTGGGCTGAAAGGGACTTGAGGCTCCTGGGGAGTTTGTGCCCAGCTGGGTTTAGGGACTGATCCAGCTTATGGAAGTTACGAGTCTTTGCACTGACTCCAGTTGGATGAAGCCCTTAATTCAGTTCAATGCTATCAGCTGTTTTATTCACACAATGTAATTTTTTGAGCAGTTTTTATTGATGCCATTTTGACAAAGGCAAACTTGGGCTCACTCCCGCATCCTCTGTACCCCCAAAACGCTCACTGGGGTCAGTCCTACAGTGAGAATTTTTACGTGAGATTTGGTGTTTTCTCACAGCCTCAGCTCCTGTGACTAGGTGAAAACCTCAGAATCTCAGCTTTCATTTCAACAATAAAAAACTTTTTTCTGGCCCCCACAATTGTGTAGAAAAGCTCAAAGGCCACAAGGCAAATAAAAAAACCTCTCAACATTATCATCTGTTTAAAATCTCATCATTTGGGGGGAAATTTGGAGTTCTTTTTATTTGTTTTTTGGTCACACTCTCTTCACATTTTCAAGTTTTCTCTGCAACCACTAGAAATATGCTGTTTTGTGTTTTTGTTTTAAAAGCGGAGATTCTCATGCAAACTTTTGATTCAAGTGGCTGGGGCTTTAAGAAAAAACATCAAATGTGGCAGAACTAACAACAACAAAAATCACCAGAGTTGGCAATTCTACATCTATTTTTAAATAAGAAAAGGTCCTTACAAAAAACACCATAGATTTTAAAAAATGTAAATGAATAATCTAGTTTACTTTCTTTATTGTTGCTTACTAAGTACATTTCTTCAGCTGAGGTGATGAATACACAATAGTCAGTTTCACCATGTTCATGCTTTCTGCTCAGTTTCACTTTCAGGTTCCCATGGCAGCATTGACAAATTGTGTGTGTGTGTGTGGTTGGTCGGTCGGTAGGTAAAAACAAAAATAAAAAGTACCAAAAGGTAAATGACTTACAGCTCATATATGCTGCAGAATACTGCAGGCTTCATGGGCTCTCCAACAAATTATGCAATTTTACAACTCTTCAAAGCTGCAAGAACAGACAGTACAAAACCAGATAGTACTATATAGGCATAACACAGTAGGGTGGAGGTTACAGTAATAATATAGGAGACCTATGTGAATAGGGAGGGGAGGGAAGGACCCAGGAGGGAAAAGGTGGAGGAGTTAGGTGGAATGGAAGTCTGACATTCTTTGAGCAGTCTGAATGTTTTTTATTCAAATGTATCTAGAAAGAGGGCCCAAAACTTCTTTGAATGCGTTTAATTGATCTCTAAAGTGATAATCTATTCTTTTATTGGCTGCTAACTCAGAAAGAAGTTGGTCCAATAAAAGATGTTCTCACCCACCTTGTCTCTCTCATATCCTGGGACCAACATGACTATAACAACACTTAAAAAGAACTCAGGTCTGAATACGTGACTGCTCTATTTTGGCATAAATTTACTCTTCCATTTTGTTTTTAAAAATATTTTTTTAAACAAAATCTCCTGGTTTTTAACACTTGAGGCTGGCAGTACTGTATATGATATAACCAGGTGTAATTTTTCAGTGCCCCCTGCCCTCCAAACATACACCGTTTGGGCTTGCATGCATATGTCAATGACGTTTCCAAGCTGCTCTTTGGTTTCTTTTGTGCTACATATATGTCTCCCACTCATCTCTGTATAGAAACCAAGCTGGCTAGAGGTTTGGCTCTGTTTACACATGCTGGTCAAAGATTATTTCTGGCTGTATGTTGTTGCTAATCCTGGCAGAAATGTTTCAGATTTTTGAAATTTCAATTAAATATTTTCATGAAAAAATGTCAGGTTTTTCTAATGATTCCATTCCTTTTGTAATAACTTCTTTCTTCCTGTGTCCCAGGGTCAGTCAGGCATGTTCCATCTAATATCATTACAGGAGGTCACATATCACCTTCATGAGGACAAACTGTTGCAGGGAAAAGCTCCGCAGTGAGCTCCATAGATCAGAGCCTTCTCTTGCTGACATCATCCATGTTAACTCAGGGGGCCCAATTCTGCTCCCCATGGAGTAGAAACCTGTGGCATTTCTGCCTTATTCTTTCCTTGCTGGGAGAGTGATTTAGAGTAATCCACAGCCTTGCAGGGCAGCAGATCTGCTCTGAACTCAGAGGTTGGATCCTGAGCCATCACCATGGGCTGACCTCCCCTTCATCCAGCTGTCCTGCCTCCCTGTCTGTGCGCTGTCATCAGCTTCCCCCTACCAAGCCTGTGCCTTACCTTCCTGAAAGGAAGATAGGAGACTTTGAGGGGGAGTTGTTGCTGCACCCCCACTCCAGTAGCTACCAAGAAATCTACCAATCAGCTAGGGATGCATGACACAAAATGTAGCTGCTCTGCTCCTCCAACCTTCATTTCAGCTCAGCACCCGTCGTCCAACCGCCACGTGCTCTCTTCCTTTTGCCTGCTTGGGTTCTTCTACAGCACCTAGCATGGGATCCATTTGTTCATATACTTTTATGAATCAAAAGGTAAAGACAGTTGCCACATTTCCCAAGAAGCAGTTTCCTGAATGGCTTTGATCCCTGGGCTGCCTTATAAGAGGCCAGATTGCTCTTTCAAAGGGGAACGAATCACATTTTCTATTTTACCTAAAAGTCACAGCAGTTACAGATAATTGCCACGCTGAATGATTGTGCTGAGATCATTGCAGGTGATCTTGAAACTGAAGCACAGGGATGGGGGATCCAGATTCTGCTCCCAGCTCTGCAATACACATCCTGTGTGACTTTGGGCAGGTCACTTCAGCTCTCTGGGTTCCTATTTCCCCAACTGTGAAGTGAGGAAACCAATACCAACCTCACAGTAGAGTCGAAAGGAGCTACAGCATAGCAAAACGTGGTTTGTTACATTATTAAACTGTATTACAATAGTGTCTAGAAGCCCCAGCTGCGATCGGGGCTCCATTGTGCTAAGTGCTGAATAAAGATGTAATAAGAGAGTCCCTGTCCAAAGAGCTTACACTCTAAATGGGCACAGGGTGGGAGGGGAAACAGATGAAATGATTTACCCAAGTGACAGAGCCAGGAATAGAAGCCAGGTCTCCAGAGGCCCACTCTAGTGCCCACTCCACTGGACCACACTGCATAGCTAAGAAGCTTTACATTTAATTTATTTTTTTAATACTTCCTATTGCAGATTAGACAATTCAGAGCCTGTGTTTAAGAAAATTGCCTATAGAGAGTATGAAGCAGATTTTCAGACAGCAAAACCAAGAGATACGTTCTCAGGTAAGCAGAAAATAACTTTCAAAGCCAATGTCTTCTACGTGCAGGAAAATGTGCCTGTATTTGTATACCCATCACTAGCATGTACTGCAAGCCAAGCAAATAGAGAGAGAATTTAGGTGGCTCTTCTCTATAGCACAGGAGCCAAAAGCCCAATCTCTTAAAAATATTGGCCTCCATTACCAGTATTGATTACATTGGAGAGGGTTCAAAGAAGAGCCACAAAAATGACTACAGGGTTAGAAAACATTCTGTAGAGTGAGTTCTCAGAGTCTATCCATTTAGCATAACAAAGAGAAGGTTAAGGGGTCACTTAATTACAGTTTATAAATATCTACTGTGACAAAGTTCCTCCTCTATCTTGGTGGGTCCTGCGCTTATTGGCAGATTTTCTTGCCTCAGAGATTCACCATGTGGGTTGGGGAACAGCCCAGAGACCTTCCCCTCTGGAAGAACCCACAGTCCAGGTCAACTGGGAGGTTTGGGGGGAACCCGGGCCCGCCCTCTACTCCGGGTTCCAGCCCAGGGCCCTGTGGACTGCAGCTGTCTATAGTGCCTCCTGTAACAGCTGCATGACAGCTACAACTCCCTGAGCAACTTCCCCTTGGCTTCCTCCAAACACCTTCCTTATTCTCACCACAGGACCTTCCTCCTGGTGTCTGATAACGCTTGTACTCCTCAGTCCTCCAGCAGCACACCCTCTCACTCGCAGCTCCTTGCGCCTCTTACTCCCAGCTTCTCACACTACAAACTGAAGTGAGCTCCTTTTAAAACCCAGGTGCCCTGATTAGCCTGCCTTAATTGATTCTAGCAGCTTCTTAATTGGCTCCAGGTGTCCTAATTAGCCTGCCTGCCTTAACTGGTTCTAGCAGGTTCCTGATTCCTCTAGTGCAGCCCCTTTTCTGGTCACTCAGGGAACAGAAAACTACTCATCCAGTGACAAGTATATTGCCCTCTACCAGACTCCTGTACCCCACTGGTCTGGGTCTGTCACACTACATAGGGTGCAAATATTTAATAATGGGCTCTTCAGTCTAGCAGAGAAAACTATAACAGGATCCAATGGTTGGAAGTTGCAGCTAGACAAATTCAGACTGGAAATAAGGTGCATGTTTTTGACAGTGAGAGTAATTAGCCATTGGAACAATTTACCGAGGGTTGTGCTAGGTTCTCCATCACTGGCCATTTTTAAATCAAGATTGGGTGCTTTTCCAAAAGATCTGCTCTAGGAATTATTTTGGAGAAGTTCTATGGCCTGTGTTGTACAGGAGGTGAGACTAGATCAGCGGTTCTCAAACTGTGGGTTGGGACCCCAAAGTGGGTCATGACCCTGTTTTAATGGGGTCGCCATGGGCCGGCATTAGCCTTGCTGGGGCCCAGGACCGAAGCTCAAGGGCTTCAGCCCTGAGTGTGTGAGGAGGCCCTCAGGTAACATGCCCCCGCCTGGGGCTGAAGCCCTTGGGATTCAGCTTTGTGCCCCCCCCGCCCCAAGAGAGGGAGGGCTCTGGCTTTGGCCCCCCGCCCAGGGCAGCGGGGCTCGGGCGGGCTCAGGCTTTGGTCCCTCCCCTCCTGGGGTCATGTAGCAATTTTTGTTGTCAGAAGGGGGTTGCAGTGCAATGAAGTTTGAGAACCCCTGGATTAGCTGATGACAATGGTTCCTCCTGGCCTTGGAATTTATGGATCAAAAGTGACTAGTAATTGGAGTGTTCCCATTTTTGGGTCACTGATTTGAGATGCCCTAAGAGGGACTGATTTTCTGAACCCGCCCTACTCAGCACTTTTTGAAAATCAAGCCCCTTTACAGTATTTCAAATTGGGCACCCAAAATCTCTAGCCACCTTTGAAAATGTAAGTCATTGACTTTGCAGCTTCACAACCAGGAGATTTCCACTGTCTTCCTTATTCTGTTTCTCCAATATACTGTTATGATCATACTGTTGCAGAATGATCCTTCTGTGGGATCATTCGTGCTCCTGGAAGGCCATCTGTGTGATGGGTCTGTATTGGTGCCATTGCTGGCCAGAATACAGGCGTACACTATTGCAGCATTTGCAGAATATACGGGCACCAATTTTTGGAGGCTGGTTTCTGTATTTCCAGAACTTGAAAAAAATTGGATGTTGCTCCCTTCACTTCTACTGCTATCGATCTCCCCACGTGTAGCGCTGTGCAAAACAGTGACACTGATCACACTCAGTCCTCTGTTTGACACCATTTACCGTCCCCTGCCTGGGCTCATGATGGATCAGTGCACAGCTGCAGAGTCTCCCCCCTTACTACTCCCCATTATGGATTCCACCACTCCTCCGGGAAGAGATCTAAGGTCACCCCGGGGACAGGTTCTGGGGCGTATTAGCAGGTGGGGTGGGTTGCTGTAGGGGGGTAGAAGTGGAGGAGTGGCTTGGTGGGGTCGTTCCCTTTGACTTGGATTTTCAAGCAAGCCTGCATGGGGGACTGCACCCTTGAACCTCCACTATTGATTTTGGATAAGTTCTGGAACACTGGGGAAGTTCCAGAAGACTGGAAGAAAATTTATGCTGGTATTTAAGGAGTGCTGGCGTCCAGTTGCTGTGATCCAACCTGCAGGGTCGAGTTTGTGATTATGTAAGGGGACTGTTGCCCCCTTACTAACATTCAGTGGGGGTGTTTTGGTTGGCTAGCTCCCAGCACTAAAAGGGGAAGGGTCGATGGCAAATCAGGAGCCTGAGACTGACAGACCCCAGGAACAATGGGGAGAGGCCAATGCGCCAGATCAGCCTGATTGACAGGGCGGGCAGGCTAATCAGAGAGTCAGGAGGCCAGGGGGGGTCCCGTCCTCTGTGTGAACTGGAATTGCCTGGGTCAGACAGAGTGGGGCTGAGCTAAGGAGAGAGCAGGGGCCCGAGCTAAGTTGCTGGAAGCAGAGCTGCAGCCTCAAAGCCAGAGCACAGCCCAGAGAGAGCAGACCTGCCCTGGAAGGAGAGCTGCAGCCACCAGAGCCAGAGGGGCTAGACAAGCAGCCAGGAAGCAGGTCAGAGCTGGGAGCAGAGTCACAGAAGCAGCCTGCAGAGCAGACCTGTCCTGGGGGCAGAGCTGTAGCAACCAAGGCCAGAGAAGCAGCCCAGGGAGCTGAAGGCAGAGCAGCAGCAGCCGTGCTGAGGCAGAGTGGAGCTGGAGCAGTCTGGAGCTGGGTGCGGTGAGCAGCTGGGGAGAGTGAGGGGGACCCTGGGCAGTGGGCCCAGCACAGGGAGACGCCTCAGCCAAGAGGCTCTGCAGGCCAGACTTAGAGGGGGATCATAACCCCGACCGGGCAGGGCGACGCTGGGAAAAAGGGTCCTGCCACCTAGAGCCTGAGAGCGTGTGGCCACCGCCAGAGCAAGTGTCCAACCCGCAGCGACTCTGCAGCACAGCCAGGGCCTGAGAAGGAGGCCTGGGACCTACAAGGAACAGACTGTGACCTGCCCTGATGTTCCAGAGACACTGTTTGTAATGTTCCCTGCCACAGAGCAGGGTGATGTGTTTTCCTTTAATCTTTCCCACTTTTCCTTATTTTTTTTTTAAATTAATTGTTAAACATCTTGTATTTGCTTTAAATTGTATGAAATGATCAGTGGGTCAGGGAGGTGCCCAGTGCAGGGAGAGTACCCCGGAGTGGGGACACCCTAGCCCCTGTCCTGGGTGACCACAGCAGGGTTGGGGGTTGAGCCCCCCAGGAATCCTGGTCCCAGCCTTGTCGGGGTTTACGAGGACTCTGCCTGACAGGAGAGTGGAAGGGGAGTCCTCAAGGGCAGGGAGGCCTCTGGGTAAAGGGAGTGGGAGCGAGGACTCAGATCCTTTCGCTAGCCCACTTCACCAGGGTAGTGCAGAAGCCAGGAAAGTTCCCCACAATAGCAGGACCATTCCCTGCTTACAATTAGATCCCTCCTGGGTTGACACTGTAGTCTCTGGGAACTCATCCTCCCTTCTCCTTTGGAGCCACTGATTCATTTCCTCTCTTTCAATAACAGAGCAGGAAAGGAAGTGAGTAATTGGCTGGTCGCTCGTTAGACAGGACCAGTCGTTACCAAGTGGGGAGCAACGCGCTCGCTCTGTAAAGCCGTTTGTAACATGGCAGGAAGGAATGTCACAGATCTGGTTGGGCACCCCCTGCTGGCCACCCACTAGACTGCTGTGAGGGGAATCCAAGCCTCTGGATCCCTGGATATGTTAAGGCTCTGGGACCTGAAGACAGTCTAGCCCCTGCCCCGATCTTGGAGTCCCCAGACACGCACTCAGGGTGCAGACTTTCTATCTGGCACCTCCTTATGAGAGCTGGAACCCACTCTTGAGCTGCCGAGCCCCTGGGCACAATGGGGACACTTCAGACTCCATTGTACTTAAATACACCCTCTCCCTACACTCCACTCCAAGGTGAAAAGCTTCTGGTTTATAGGTTAACAGGAGGCATGTGATAATTATGAAGCAGATAATGCATTCTCACGCTTTGCACAGAGCCTAGCACAATTGCTCCTTTACTTAATCACATAAAGCACAAGACAATACAGATCATATAGAACACAAGAACCATCCTAATCACAATGCACCTCACTAGCTCACTCCTCCCTTCGGATTCCTTGGAGGGACACATGTGTCCAGGAAGATAGGCAGGCAGGGTTTCCCCTGCCTCAGGCAGGCTGTTACATGTTGGGTGGCTTACCCCACATGGAGTTTCCTTCCCCCAGCCCCTGTGACCTTGCTGTCTCCTGCACAGTGCTTCCCCTTCCTCTGTGGCTCTCTGCATTGATATGCCCCCTTCCAATACTTGGCTTCCTTTGTTCTATCTTTTGGTAACTTTTCCTTGTTCCATAAAAGCCCTCCCCTCAGACAGGATGGGTAAAACTGGCTTTTCCCTAGGATGCAGTCGTTGGGTGGAGTCAGGTGCTACATATTTACAGGTAAATGTCTAGTTTAAAAAAAAAACCACCTTTGCAAAGGCTTGATCCATTTATGGATTAATGTCAATGGAAAAAATTCTTTTGTCTTCAGTGGAAGATGCCTCAGGCTATCACTACAATACCTTTCTTACCAACCCCATTTCCACAGCATGCGTTCTGTGACTGAAGGATCTTTTCTTCCCTGATTGTTGGTATGTCTACACTGCACTGTAAAGTGTGATACCAGCTGAGGTAGACATATACACACTAGCTTAAATCTAGCTAACATGGCTAAAAGTATAAAAGAAGATGCAGGAGCATCGGCTTCAATGTGGGCTCCTAGGTATGTACTTACATTGTTAGCCTGAACCTGGGTCTGTGCTATTGCATCTTTTCTGATATTCTTAGCCGTGCTACCTACACTAAAGCTAGCATGGGAATGCCTTGCCGAGCTGCAACTGCATATCCCACTGCAGTGGAGACAAACCTTGTGTTGTAAAGGCTGTTGCTCTTTATATCACATTAAACACTCCCTAAGACTTCTGTCTGCTTTCCTAAAACTATGCTAGTACTGGTGACTAATTTGTAAGGGGAGAAAACCCTTCCCCAACCTTTAAGCTGTCTGTTCACTAAACTTTCCATAGCCAGGAAACAGCCTTCTCGCTTCATGTGCAGAATTTTCCTATGAATTTCAGTGTCCTTTGCTGAATATATAATTCACAGCCTTATTTACATTGGGCCACATCTGTTAGATCCTTGAGGGCCTTTCTACCATCCAGGTATTTCACAGCTAAATCACTGGACAGGATTAATCCTCATTGCACTGGCATTAAATCCTCTGATTTATTGTGTGCAACTTGTCCTTTAACAGGAGTTCACTCTCCCACTCGGGAGAAAGTGACTTTCCCTTTCAATAAGATGCACCATTTGATGCTCATTATCGCTTTTTATTTTTAATACTGAATTTCTGCAGGACTTCTGGGACCAACTCTGCGTGCTGAAGTGGGAGACACTTTAGTAGTTCACTTTAAGAACATGGCCAACAAACCGCTGAGCATTCACCCACAGGGCATAGCTTACAACAAACTGTCAGAAGGTATGTGCTGTAAAATACCATCTATTCTTTTTTTCTACTCAAGACTATATAATCTTAGATAGAGAAGGGCCTAAAACCAAGTCCAGGGTATGGACACCATCGACCTTTGATCTTTGGATCTGAATCTACATTTTGTGGCCCAACCTCATCTATTATTACATCAACCATGTGACAGCCCTGTTGTCTGAGATGTGTATATTGCTGAATGACTCTTCACGTATGCTGGTGACATAGCTGTTTTGCCAAAGCTGAGAACCTGGAGAACAAAAGTAACTGGTCAGTTAAAATACCCACCCTGAAGAAAGGGAGGAGGGAAGTTGTCAGCTGCTGCAGGCTGACACAAACTGACTGGCCTGGTCTACACCTAAAATGTAGTTTGAGCTAGCTACATCGCTTGGGGCTGTGAAAAATTTCACGCTCTGTACAAACAGTTAGATCAACCTAATCTCCGCTGTAGATGCAGCTAGGGCAATGGAAGAATTAATCGTCGACCTAGTTACTGCCTCTCAGAAGGGTGGACTAACAATCTTAATGGAAATCCCCTCATGTCAATAAGGAAGCGTTTCACTTCAGCAGTACAGCAGCAGCACCACAGCTGTGCTGCTCCAATGCAGATGTATCCAGAAGAGAGTCGGGGCAGCAAGCAGGATGTAATTTGGTCCCCAAGAAAACATGGGCTCCAAGGCTACCTAGGGGCTTGAGGGGAATGTCTGGTGTAGGTAAGACAGTATGTGTATAGGTCTCTTATTTTCAATCCATCTCTCTGAGTGCTGTGCACCTTTTGGCAAACAAATCATACTTTTGTTTTGAAGAGGCTGCTTCTGTGTCACTGCATACTACCACTGACCACAGGCTCCTAAGGAGAAACTCTTGCAGGTGCCACGCCATTGGGCTTGCTAGATATCATGGTTGGCAACCAGGGAGGTGTGACCCAGAGACCAAGTCGGGGAGTGGTTGGATCAGGGGATCTCCCCCCAAAAAGAAGTGGAGGCATAGCCCTGCCACTTGAAAGAGATGCAGTCGGGGAACTGGAACAGGGTCTCAGAAGGGGTGGTCTAGCCAGGGACTATGACAAAGGGTACTTGGTATGTCCCAGTAGGAGCTCAGCTTCTTGCAAGATCTGGCCTTTGGCTGTCAGTTCTTAGAGGCGTGGTACTTATATATCCTGCTGGTTTTCTAGAATGCCATAGAGACCGAATCAAACTTGAGTAAAGCTATCAGTTTAAGACAGTGCCACTCTATCCTGCCAAATGATTTATCAACATCCATTAATAAAATTAAGGATGGAATCCAATTTGATGTTAACTTCTTCTAACTGGCACTCAATCAGCTTGATTGCATAGAGCTGCAAGTGCAACAAGGGGGTAGAAAATAGAGTGGTGAGGGAGGAAATG